TCTCTTTTTTTTTTTTTTTTTTTTTTTTGCCTTCCCAAAGTAAAAAAAAAAAAAAACTGGGCGGTTTGCTGCTGCCAGTACAGCTGCTCCTTGCCCTTCTTGTCATTGACTTGGGTTTATCCTGTCGTGGGTTTGATCTGTAAAACCTGCACCCTCTTTTGTGTCCCCACAGCATTTGAAAGGTTTGTTCTTATTAGCCAAGATGTTTACCTTTTTTTTTTTCTTTCTCAGCTTTTTTTTATTATTATTATTTATTTTTTAAAAAAAAGCAAGGCCTAGAAATTACCAGAGATTAACAGACCCTCCCTGCTTCCTTCTGGCTGCATACCCCCATGGTACTGTTCCCTTCTCACCAAGCTGCTTCCGCATCCTTTTTTGAGCTCCTGGTGACTCCACCAGACCCTTGGGACAGCTCTGTTCCTGCCTCCATGGGGGCTGCCCAGTGCTCTCCTGGTGTTCATTCCTCCCCCTCCGACTAAAGCCTTCTCCTAACCAGCTTCTCAGCCTCCACCCTTTCTTCTCCATTTACCTCCCTGGGAACGAGTTTCTCCAAAGGGCTTGTGATTTCTGGTTTTCCCTGCAGAAAGTGTTATGGAAGTGCACTTGATCCCTTCTCTCCATAGCTGGAAAAAAATGGAGCGATGCCAACCAACCCTGGCAAAGCTCCTCAAAACTGCCGGGTTTGGGGACACCGTTGTCCCGCCCCCGTCCCTGGATGCGCTTCGCCGTTTCCTTGGCAGCTGTGCAGCCGAGAACCAGGAGCCCACTGTGGTTCTGAGCACGCAAGGCAAGGCTCGCCAGGAGAGCAGTGCCCTGCGGGAGGAGCTGGCTGGATGGACAGATGGCAGCATGGCCACGGTCCCCAGGCTAATGCCTGCTGCTCTTGCTGGGGAGGCATAAGCTCATGTGGGGTCAGCAAGGGTAAAAACCTGCACCCCTAACACGATCACCTGGTGGCCAGGACACTCGTGCAGGGACTCTTTGAGATTTCGGCACTCCCCACCTTACTAGTACTAGCAAACTCAGTTCTGCAGTTGCTTTGTTTTTGACTGTATCATTTTTGAAAGAAAAAGCACCTTCTCCCCTACACACGCAGACCCAGCTTCCTAATTCTGGAAGCGTACTGCTGTGCCCATGCAATTTATGGGTTTGAGTGTTTTTTTCCTTTGAGGGTATCAGTCACCAAAATGGCAGGTTGGAACTATTTTGTGATCCAGTGCAGCATAGGAAGGACAGGGAACTGCTGGAGAGAGTCCAGCGTAGGGCTACAAAGATGATTAGGGGAGTGGAGCATCTCCCTTATGAGGAAAGGCTGAGGGAGCTGGGTCTCTTTAGCCTGGAGAAAAGGAGACTGAGGGGTGATCTCATCAATGTTTACAAATATGTAAAGGGTGAGTGTCAGGAAGATGGGATTAAGCTTTTTTCAGTGATGACCTGTGATAGGACAAGGGGTAATGGGTGCAAATTGGAGCACAGGAGGTTCAAGGTGAATATCAGGAAAAATTTTTTTACTGTGAGGGTGACGGAGCACTGGAACAGGCTGCCCAGAGAGGTTGTGGAGTCTCCTTCACTGGAGACATTCAAAAACTGACTGGACGCCTTCCTGTGTGATGTACTCTAGGTGGTCCTGCTCTGGCAGGGGGGTTGGACTAGATGATCTTTTGAGGTCCCTTCCAACCCCTATGATTCTATGATTCTATGTTAACTTCCTACTGCCTTCCTCACTGTGGTTCCAGGGGCTTGATGTGCCACAAAAACAAGTGCTGTCACTCAGGCAGCAGAAACTGGGGCTTGAAGGGGCGCTTGGCCTCGGCAGAGTCCCTGGATGCGGAGGAGGCCTCCAAATTACATTGTGCTCTCTGCAAAAGCAGAAAATGAGCAAAGCCCAGCTGATGCCATGCTTCTGGTTTCCCTTGGTTGAGTTAATCATGCCTAGAGTTTGATATAAACAGTAGAGATCTACTGCCCCTCCACTCCATCCCACTTCTTCCTTAGCTCAAAACCTCTGAAGAGCTTATGAACAAACCTTGTTCCCTCCACCTGAGCGGGTCTGCTGTTAACACCGACCACACAGGGAAAATACTGGTGCTAAATGAAGCGTACCAAGTCGGCAGCATATGAAAAAGAAGAGTTAAAATCAGGAGCATAACTCCTGAGGTTGCTGTGCCATGGTGCAGGCACAACCCTAGTCCTGGCTCAGCTCCGAGTGCTCACGGCTTGGGCACCCGTGCTGGAATGGGAACTTGCTCTGCTTTAAAGTGAGCAGGAGCACTCCCCGGGTATCACTGATACTTCTAACCTATGTCTAGAGTGGCTGAAATTTCAGTGCTCCCTTGACAATCTGCTCTGCCTGGTGGTCAAGCACCAGCCCCTCTCCTGTTCAAAGAAAGTTCGGAGCCACAGGCCTTCTGCTCGTGATTTCAGTCATCTCACCTGATCTTTAGAGCTTTTTAGCACAGTTCAGCTTGGACACAAGGATGTTTGGATGGGGCCAGCACAGGCTGGTCACAGAGAGCAGAGTAAGACATTGTGGCTTGAGCTCGCCCTCCTGCATGGGAATGTCAGAAACCAGCCAGCTCAACCGCCGGGCTAATTCCTCGGTGCAGTGTCCCATGCGGGTGAGCTGCTAGGCTGTTAACAGGGTGACCTCCTGCTAGCAGTCCTGTTCCCAGAAAGCACTCTGGGGAATAGAACAGATAGAGCATTTCTCACTGCTTTGATGCAAATCCTTTTCCTGCTGGAGAAGCTGCCTCTGCTGCATGAGGGCAGCTCCAAGATATTTAGAGTTACGGCAGCTTCACATTAACTGTGTCTGTTGGGAACCACATTCTCCAGAATAGCCTGAGCTCTGTTACATGGTTTATTTTGTACAGACAGACAGACAGACTGCAGTGCCCTGCCCAACAACAGCCCTGGAGCACGTCTGTGACCAGGTTTCTTTATTTATCGTGGCTTTTTCTTTCCTCCAAATGTTTCTTTTCCCCCTTTTTCTTTCTGCTTTGATTGCCGTTTCTCCAGAATCTTCCTAAAGGCCTGGTAGGGGCCAAGCTCTCTGCGGACCATTGTACCTCTCCACCAGGCCTGCAGCTGGAAGCAAGAGAGACAGAGGTCTTAGGGGAAATCACTTGCTGGGGTCACTGGTGCAGCTCAATGGTCAGTGTCTCTCCTGCACACCCCAGCTTCAGGAGAGAACCCCTGGCCCACACAGCAGCAGTTGGTCCTGTGCTGGTTACACCGAAGGAATCCACGTCTGGGCTGAGGGCATCTGTTGCTGGTGTGATGGGCACAGCCACAGATTATTTGAGGAGACTTCTTTCTGCCCTTTTGCTCCCCCCTCAAACCTGCAACTGGCTGCTGGCTTTGAGTCTGCCCTGGTAGAACAGCACAGGCTTCATCCTGTGCTTGTGCCACCCCACACCAGTCACCTTTCTCGGGCCATGAACAAAGCGTGTTCTGCTATGAAACTATTAACTCCCAACTGCTGATGGAGCAGCACTGCCTCAGCTTTGCTCCCCTTTACCTTCAGGATGCTCTTCAGCTCCAGGGCATCTTGCTCTAGTTGGCTTCTTTTAGCCTCCTTTTCTGCCCGGTCACTGATGATGGTTTCCTCAAATATACGGCACTGCAAGATAGCACAGGGGTGGCAACAGCCACCAGGGAGACACATCCCTAAACAGCAGGCCCAACCTTTGAGGCTCACTTTGCCCTGCAGCTTGCCAGGGCAGGGCTCACCTAGACCCTGGTGTGAGGATTCTCCTCCTCCAGCTGCCTACTGGTCTCATCCCCACTACCTGCTTTTCACAGCCCAGCCAGGGCTGCCCTGGCTCTGGGTCACCGTGCAGGTCCACACCCTCTGCACCGAGGAGCACAAGGGTAATGTGTAAGTGTGGACCTTCCTACCCCAGCTCCTTTATTTGATCTTTCTTGAATCCAGATGGCAAATGTTGCTCATTACCACCATCAGTCCTAAGGCACTAAGAGCTGCTGCCAATGTGAAACCTCTCACGGCCTGGGTGTAATTAACCCTCTGATCCTGTGCTGTAAAATGCTGTCTGATGGCGTCTCAGGCAACAGATGGTGGTGGGAAGGGCCCATGTGCCCCCCAGCTAGGCAGCAGATGATCTACAAACACACTTGGGACACCGAGATGACAGCATATGGAGTGAAAAATGAGCCCACAAGCAGGGAAACATCTAACTCAGTCCCATCAGTGACAGTAAGGAATGGTTACAAGTTAATTCTTTCTGTCTATAAACCACCTTTTTTTCTAGACCCTTGTCTCTGCCCTGTGCTGCCTGCTCCAGCATCACTGCAGTCGGAGCCCAGCAGTTACCCAAGAAACCAGCATGGGGCAGGAATGGTTTTAACTGGAAAATTAGTTGCTTTATAACAGAGCACTCTGTGCAAGTGCAAATGTGCATCTGCAGGAGGGGCTGAGCTGCCTCTTCTGGTCTCAGCCTGTCCTGCCCAGACGCTGATGGAAGGAGCAGATTTGTTCAGACTAAGGCAACAGACTGGTGAGGCGTTCTGATGGGATGGGACAGGACAGGGCCTTCACCCCTCACAACGGCTCTCAGTAGCTCTCTGATTACTTGCTGGTATTGAAAATAGCTGTAGGAGGAAAACCATCATCCCTCCTTAATGTCATAGGTGTCAAATAGAAGATGACTACTCGGTCCTTGCCTTCCCAGGGCTACTACTTACAATCACACTCAAGGTAGGAAAAAGCCAGGATGCAGTTTTGTATGGCTGAGCACTGAGGTGCTGCTCCTGTCTCACCTCCTCAGCAAGTCTCTGCAGCATTTCCAAGTTGTTTGCCTTTGATGCTTTTAGAGCATCCAGTTCTTCATCTTTGGCATCTGCGTCATTTTCATACTTGTCCACCCAGTATTCCAGCTTCTCCTCTGCCTTCTGCACAAAGAAAGAGTGGCACTCAACATGGTACTAAGGAAAGGTTTGATACTACTATGTGGCCTGCTGACAGGGTGACATAAGGGTCCTGTAAATTTTGCATGGTCAGTGTCTCCTCATCCCCACTGGTCAAACCCCTAGGACTAGTCCTAAGTGACTGGTGGCCTGCAGGCCACTCACTGAGGGTTCACCATGGAAGGCACAGCACTGGACTGGCAATGAAGAGAGATGAGGCTGAGTTTTCAAAGGTGGAGAATGGAGAAGGTGGCTTTCTGCACAGTCAATCCCAGTGAAGTGACAGCCAGAAGCCATTCTTTGTGTGTATACAGAGGGAAGGGGGTTAAGAAACAAGGATTTGTCAGTGAGAAAGCTTTTATCTTCTGTCTGACTCCCTGCCCCCTTTCTGGATTAAGCTGAGTGCCTCAGGAATAAGGTCCCAGGGGACAGCACTTCACACTATTTCAGGTTGTAAACTTGGCTTTGTCTCACTCGTGAATAGGAGGGCAGGTGTTGCTGAAACAGTCACCCAGATGACTTCCTCCCATTCACAAATAACTTCTCCATAGCAACAACCATGATTGCATGCATGGAAAAATAATCTGAGGAAAAGCATCAATCTCATTACGGCATCGCAGCTGGACACACAGGGGAGATGAAGGGCATGGTCATCCTCTTCTCCATGGGCCCCTGTAAAGCCACCAGCTGCTGTCTGAGGACACAGAGCCTTGTACCTTGCCTTCTGGTAGAGGTCAAATAGGCTGCGGATTGTACTTGGAAAGTCCCCTCACTACAAAGTGTTGATCAGACTAAGTTTCTGGCACAGAGAGGACACTATTTAGTTGCTCACAAGATACAGCACAGTTCTGCACTCAGATTACATGTTTTAAAATTTGTTATCTTCTGTTAAGTTTTGTGCTGGCAGTGATGTACCCTGCAGCAGTACAGGTTTTCATTCAGTCACATGGTCTATGAGATGCCTTCCGGTGTCAGTCACTATACTGGGCACTGCTCTGAACTCCGGATCAACAACACAAGGGCATTCATAGTTGGTTGCTGCTGAAAATGGGTAGGATAATTGTGAGTTAGGAACTACTCAGACTGAGATAAGGGAAAACTGGGCTGGCAGTTTGTGTCATTTCCTTCTCAGTGCCCCATCTATGGAACTGTTCCTCGCCCTTTGTGCAGTAGCACTCCCCTGAGTCCCTGGGAGCCCCAGATACTGCCAGGGAAGGTCTGAACAAAATCCCAGTTAGCTGAATGCAGCCATCTGAAGGAGGACAAATCTGTCACACCTGAATAAACAATTCCATCATTACATGAACTCTGATTTTAAGGAAATGTGTCCAAATGTAACAAATCCCAAGTCTGGCAGAGTTGGGTTAATTAAGACTTGAGGATAAGGAGTCACTCAAACAGCAGCAATCACGAACCTGGTAAATTTGATGGAGCAATAACTGGTTTTCTTTAGGCGCTGATTGATGATATAATGTTTCTCAGTTGCTATTTTGAGCAGGAGCAGAAAGTCACACGTACCTTATGGTGTAGCCTGAGGAAATTTTCAATCTCCATGTGCACTCGAATCTCCTCATCAGTCTTGCTCCTCAACTTCTGTGATCAGTGCGGACAGAAAACATGAGAGATGCTGTTAGTGCAGAAGTGTGCTGCTGAAAGCCAGGCTGGTGAGCAGGAGCACAGCAGCTCTCTGCTGTCCACATTTTCCCAGTGGCAAAACCAACCGAGGCAGTCCTTGCCCCTGGGCTAGCCCTGAGAAAAGGACAACTAGATCAGACCTGGATCAGTCAAAAAAAAAACCCACACTTGCAACACCAGGATAGTTCTCTAGTCCAGCTCACCTTATGGCCACACCAACCTATCTGTCAGCATAATGTGCTGTGGGCAATGCTGGGAGCTCAGAGTGCTTATGTTGCTAAACAGGCTTGGAACTACACCCTTTGGACATAGTTCTGGGTCTGTTTCTCTGATGATGGCATTAGTCAGTCGTTAAGCAGTGCCACCATCTCCTGCAGCCATGCCATCCCTGCCATTGCTGTTTGCAGGACTACACAGAGAAGCAAAACAGAAGAGAGAAAGATTTCTAACGTGGCTGAGTTTCCTGATCCAGTTCAAACAGGTGCCTTGGTGACTGATGGAGAACAGAGAGGGCCTCTGGGGAGTGAGGGAGGACCCTCTCCTTACTAGCTGGAGACGCCTTCCAGCAGGGGCTGTGGGGAAGGGCTTACCTGAATTTCCTTTTCCAGGTCATTCTCTGCATTGCTGCACTTCTTCTGGGTCTGGTGGACCTGGAGGTCTGTGCTTTTCTTCACGTAGCAGCTCTCCATGTCTGTTTTGGCCTTCATCTCTTGGAGCTCGTCTTTGAGGTAAGCAATCATACTGTCTCGGTTCTGGTAGAGGAGACAAAAGAAGCACAAAAGCAAACCTGGAGAGGCCAGCTCACTGTTTCTTAATTTCCTCACTCCCTGATAAACTCAGCAGAGACAAGGCTTCACACTTGCCCTCAGTGTTGCTCCATTTCAACCTCTACTTCAAAGAGAAGTTCAGTTTATAACCCATACAGAAGGCAATAAACCCCTCAGCAAGGAGTAATTAGCTCTGGAGAGGGTGGAGTGATGAATAGAGCAAGAAAAGAAGCCAGGCCTTCTGGTCTCTGGGCCAGGGATGGATTCAAGCATACTTATAATATATGAAAGAAGCCAGATAATTTCAGCTGCTTAAAGTTAGGCTTTACCAACCTCTTGGATTAGGCTGTCTCAGCGAGTGAGCATCTGTAAGAGGAGGACAGTGCCTCAGCTGCCCGTAAGCCAAAGTTTGATTCCTAAAGTATACTCTATTCCTTGGATTAATTTTTTTTTTCTAGTCATGCAGCAACTGTCTAAACACAACCTTAGGAAGAGGTGGCAATCTAATCTTGTCTTGCTCATGTGTTTAAGCAGTTCTTCCTTGAAATCTTACCAGGTAGATGGTGCCTGCTTCGTTATAAAAGCATACACCCAGGGCAAGGAAGAAGTGCCAAGGAGAAGCTGGCGATGAGCTCCCGTCCTCTCCACATGCCTTGTTTTGCTCTGGAGCTGAGCTCTCCTGCAGGAATCCTGTTGCTGGCAGCTCCCCCATGGGTGAGACTCCTGAGCCGCTGTGCCCCGTTTGTCTGGCTTTTGGAGTGTGCTCAGGAAGGAAAGTACATTTGCTTGATAGGGGTGGTTGGTTTGTTTACTCCTTTTTAATGAATTTCTTTGAGTAACAAATAAAAGCTCATTAATCTGGGGTTGGAACTTGGGAAAGAACTGCCTGTAAAATGAAAAACTCCAGACTTCTGTATTAAGAGTTAAAAAGGTCATCAAAGTCTCCTGTGCAGTTATGATCAAGCTTAATGCCCCTGGTTTGGCGCCTGATTGCCCCACTACAGCTTTTCTCTTTGCTTTCCTGCCAGACTGTGACGGGTGTGACATTCATCAGCCAAACACTGCAGCTGAAGATGAAGTACCAAAGTGCTGGCATTTAAATGTTTTGAAGCCCACGTATCTTGTCTCTGAAGCACCCTCACATTCCTTAGCTGTTTAAACATGGAAAAACGCCACAGGAAGAAGCCAGCTCAATAGTGCTGTGTTTAAAAGCCTCTGCAGCATGACTCATTTGGAAAAGGTTTCCTTATAAGAAGAGCTTGGGACAGTTAAAAGGAAAATCCTTCCCTCTGTACCCCTGGTCAGACATAGTTAGGAAGAGTAAGGTATATTTATAAGGCTCAGAACAATTAGGGGCCTTGGCTGATGCTGTTTTGTGGGTTTAAAAGTCATGCATTCAAATTTTTTTTACGGTTTCCAACATCAGATATTATTTTATGGCTATATCATCATATGACTGCAGACAGCTACAGAGATTACCTGTTTATGCCCTGTTGAGGATCTGGTAATGGCCTTTTGTTTTCCCTTGTGTGAAATTTTGGTGGGCATTGGGCGGGGTTGTGTTCCTGGTCAGTAGACATAGGAGGTGATTTTATTTTAAGATTGTCTTCCTGCGTCATGGTGGAATCTTGTCTAAACTGAGGGGCTGCCAGAGAGGCTGGGGGGATGCTGATGAAAACCACCAATTTTTTGCCGTGCTGAGACTCAGCAGAGATGTCAGTGTGTCACTGCTATCTGCTAAAGATCTGCAAACAAGTCAGAAAAGAAGGGTTCAGCCTAGGCTACAGCGTACTCAGATATTAGAGAGGTGGGGCACAGGAAGTACACTTCACCAGGTTGTTCTCATTTCATATTTTAGTAAAGCAGAGGAAAAAGTGATTTTGATTCCAGTGCCCCGGGCCTCAGCTGGGTTGGGGGTCCATCTGCTCTGTTCATTTTCTCTGTGGCGTGGCATGTGTGCGGTCTGGGTTGGGTCTGTGGTGTTGTAAAACATCTTGGTTAGAGGTGGGGAGTCTGGGGGCTCGCTTATACCACCCGGAGCAGGCGGGGAGGGAAATGCAAAACCCTGCTGGTGGTTTACAGCAGCAGCCCAGCTGAGGGACCTGGCCCTGGGCTGGGGCACATTTGCTGTCTGGCTGCAGGTAGCACGTGCAGCAGTAAATGCCCACAAGCTGTGGGCAGCATCTGTAGAGGATGCTGTTCCCTGAACTTCAGGGACGGGCACTGGGAGAATGAGTTAATATTTATTCGTTCTGGTTTATCATAGCAAAAGTCCCAGCCAGGACACAGAGAGCTTTCACAGTGAATGCACTAAGCCTCTGGCTTCCTTATTTGGGATGATTTCAGCGCCAAATCTGCCAAACCAAAGATGCAAAATCATACCTCGTGTGTCCAAAACTATCACAAAACTGGCAGAAGCCAAGATCAAAACTCAGGAAATAGCTGTCATGAGCCAGTCTGCTTCGCAAGCAGGTAAACAAGCTGATTTTCTCTGATCTCTCAGCTCGCAGACATCAGCTCAGAGGCCTGTCTGCTGCAGTTAGCTGATGCCATAGGAATCTGCCCCACAGATGCCATTTGGCTGCAAAAGCAACTGCGCTTAGCCGGAGGGGGGGGGGTGTGCTCCAGTGTTTTCATTTACTCTGATTTATTTCTCTTGCAAAAATGCCACCGAGACCTCTCAGCTCTTCCATTGCGACTGCTATTTACAGTCCCTTCACATCCAGCTGGTTACAGAAATAGCAGCCAGGAGCAGGGGTCGGAGGGGTTCCTCCGGCAGCAGGACGCGCGCCCAGCGCCGCCCCGGGAGTGGCTGGGGGCCGGGGGCTGTGCTACGTGCAGGCAGGCAGCGTGGGGGCACAGCCCCCCATGCCAGCCTCCTGCCTTCCACACCGGGCAAACAGGAGCTCCAGGCTCTCCGCTGGCAGCTGCAAAGCCTGAAAATATGCTTAGATCTACACACCTGCTGCAGCCTGGGCTCACTCCCCCCGAAACCACAACGTGCACCCTATGGATACTTCGGTAACGCTGTAGCCTGCATCTCTGTCCCATCTGCCAGGACAGTCCCATGCTGCACACCCCCAGAAATGCCTCAGCCTGGGAGGTCACCCAGCTTTGACATAAAAGCTTCTACAGCCCCCCGCCGCTCGCCTCCAGCCCCAACAACTGTGGGAGGGAGTTGTGCGAGGACTCTGCTGGCAGAGGGAGCAGCCCTGTTGGTGGCAGCACTCCTGTTGAAAGCCCTTTCCCTCTGGAGCCAGGTTTGGATCTAGTGCACCAGCCACGGGTCGTGCTGAGCTGCCCTGGAGCTGTCATCCCTGGAGGTGTTCAAAAAACAAGTAAATGTAGCACTTGAGGCTATGGTCTAGCGGTTAGGGAAATGATGGGATGGAGGTTGGACTTGATGATCCTAGAGGTCTTTTCCAACCCTAGCGATTCCATGATCCTGCCAGCAGTGGAATGAAGTCACCCAGGAGCTCGGGACCACCGCAAACCTCGTGCCTTCCACTGTAATTCCCTGGTGCATTTCTCCAGTAGAAACATGCGCCACTGGGTGTGTATATACATTTAAAACATTCCCCCAGAACACTCCATTGATGCGTTTGGCCTCCTAGGAGAGGATAAGGAAGACACATGATGGATTTTAAACTAAAAGCACTACCAAGTGGTGCACTGATACAGTGGAGCTGGGTGTGTTAGGAGAGGCCACATAGAATAAAAGTTATGGAGCTGTCTTCACTGATGCAGCACCTTGGTAGGTAGCCTGCAATATTACTGCTTGTTACACAATTACAACATGACTTGCACACATGTATGACACGAGCCTACCACAAAACCTAGAAGACATACAAAGTCTTTGGATGAATAGCAATTCAGGAATTCCAAAGTTTACATTTCCTAAATGTTAATGCTAAACTATAGAAACCTAAACAACATTAACTTGTTTCAAAATCTGTACAGGATGCCATCACTTGTCCAGGAAAGCAGAAGAAGTATTTTTGTAGAAGCTAGAAAAGGAACACTGCAGCAGCAAAGAGAACTGCAGCCAAAGTGGAGCTGTTGGGGATGCTCCTGCGTAGAGAGTTAAGAGCAAAAGCAGACAGGTACTTTCAGCTGCTGTAGGGAGATCAGAGCTTTCCAAGCGGAGTAAAACCAAAATAAGTAAGAACATTTAGCATTTGATTTGTGTTTCCTTAGAAAGAAAAATGAGCTGGGCAGGCTTATATAGCATTTATTAGCATCTCTTTAAGAGGTAGCAAGGCTGCAAATGCAAACATACAGGCAACATGTGTGAAGCAGAGACCGTGTTTTTCTGGTTCCATGATTAGTTTTGCTGGCTTTTGTTTTCTCATCCACTAGACTGGAGATGACCATGTAGGCTTTTGTCTACAGGTCTCTGCATTATTACTGTTCAGAGTACTCCAAAATGAGCAAGCTGTATTTTTCTTTTTAATTAGTTGGCAAGGTGACAAATTATGCAAGTGTCTGTAAAAGTGCCTATGGGAAAATCCCATACAACGCAAACAGAAATTATTCTCCCTTGGGAGACAGTGAGACACCATTATTTCTGGCACAGGAGGAAAGCAGTACTTGAAAGTAGTCTTGCCTTTGATTTGTTATCAAAGCTGAGATTATAAGAAAGCCCAGAAAAGGACTTTTAAGCTGGAAACATAAAACCAAAATCCCAGATGAGTGCAGATCTCACTTGACGAGGCAAAAAGCAAGAAGCAAATTAGAAAGAGGACAGAGAAGAGCACCCTCTCAGCATGGGAGCTACAGACTTTATGACTGCAAGAGGTGGGAGAGATGCAGGGCAGGACACAGACAAGTGCCCAGCCTGACTGCACAGGGCCAGCACGCTGCTGCTAGTGTGAGATGGGATCATGACAGCCCCCCCTACACTGGTCCCTAGGAGGCATCAAACCAGAAACAGACACACAGATGATAGTGCACACAGGCACTGTGAGGTTTGAGGAGCACTGCACAAAACTACCTCGTGAGCCTCACTAGCTTGGGAAGTGGGAGAACAGGAGCTGCCCAGGAGCCATCAGAATCTGACTGAGAAGGGACAATATGCAGAAGGAAATGGATAATGTACAGTCTCCGAGCCTAGTTCATTTAACTGCCACACAGACGTCAAGGGACTTTTGGGTTGTCCCATAGGGCCTGGAAGTAGGGTCTCATACCATTTCCAGTGGCAGTAAGTAAGGGTATATTGAGGTATATAGCTCCCCTTTCCAGTTCTGGCTGTGACCTCTACATCTTTTAGATGTTCTGCTCAAATCTGTAAGAAAAATCTAATTCATCCTGCATTTCTCTTTTAGTTCCCACAACTGTTCTTTCTTGCTTTGTCTCCTAACTTGCTAACTTTCCATTTCCTTTAGTGACTCCCCTTCTTTCTCCTCTCTGTTATGTCCACAGTTTTTTTCCAGTGTTCTTTTCATCTTGCTGCACTTCCCAGTGTACGTTATGCATTTCCAGTATCTCCACTAGTAGATGAGTACTGATCTAAATTAATTTTCCCACCTTGTACATTCCTTCTTCCTTCTCTGCTGTTCTAATATCTCCCCTGAACTTCTGGTGTTTCATCAGTGCTAGATAGCTGCATACATTACCAGTGGATCCTTCACGTTCTTACAACAGTCCTTGATTTACAGTTAAACTTTCCACTGCACATGCATCCAGGCTGCCAACACAAACCTTCATGTTCTATAAACTGTACTTCAGCAACATGTCAGTGGCTTAAAACTTCTCTCTGTAGCCAGCTATATCCTGGCTTGGTTACCGTCCACGCTTTTGTCCAAAGACAAAATCCAGTGATGCAAATTCTTTCCTCAGATGCCCTTGCTGTCCTCCTGCTCAGTACTGAACCAGGCATCAGATTCTTGTTCCTTCTTGTAGTCCTGGTATAGCTCTGACCCTGCCTGTCTCTTGTTTGTTCCCTATAACACACCCTTTCCTGCCTCTGCCAGGCTAGGCCTCGTTTCCACGTCTCTGCACAGAACTGCGTGTGGTTTTGCTCTAAAGCACACATGAGCATAAAGCCTGAGCTGTCTGGTGAGCATCAAAGTGACCAGCGACATGCCATTCAATTGATCTGCACTTGTGCAGCAAGTGTGACATTTCCAGAATGCCCCAGATTCACTGTGCCTGCACACACCATTTGCATGCTGCAGACAGAAGGGCTGAAGCTTTCCAGAAAGATCAAGTTGACAGTGTCTGTGCAACAACGTTGATCTGCCCTTGTGTAGGATTCCCACATGTGGGATTTTCTAACACCTAGAAGCCTAGAAAAATAGATTAAAATAACAAATTTTTCCCCTGGAAAAATAACAAGCCCCTGTGCTAGGTGTCTGTCTGCACGAGTAGGTATGACAGAACCTTGGATACTGCTCTGTGCAGAGAACCTCTTTCTTACTGATTGCAGATGCCCATGCTTTGCCAATCCCAGCAGTTTTTGGAGCATTCTAATTTGATCATGGTCTCTCAGGATTATGAGCATTTTGAGCTCCCATTTGAAAACCATGGCTCTTAAAGTCATTAGCAGGCTTATTCAGAATACAAATCTTTATTGCAGTTACTCAGCTGCTGTGTTCCTAAATGACAGATAAACATATGCCACATGTCCTCTCAGCTGATTGTGAGTTCCTGGGCAGCAGAGGTGAGCTTGCTAAGAGGCTTCCCCCCCGGTTTGATGCTCAGTGCTAAGTGACCTCACCTGAAGTTCTATTTCAGTTTCTTTCTTGATGTCTTCCAGCTGTTTCTCAAGTGACTTTATCTCCTTCTTTCCTTCCTCCTCCCTGAAGAAAAATAGGAAAATACAATCACTTGAATGTATCAAAACAGACAGGAGCAGTTTACCTAGAAGGAGAAGTTCTTGTCTCCTGATGCATTGCAGCACCTAGCTGAGTAATGCCCCACTTATCCTGCTCACTCAACGACTTCAGAACAGCTGAACTAAATGAAGTGCCCCTTTGATACCAAATTATAACACCATGGCTGAATAGTGAAAAAGGTATTCACCTCTTCACTCTGAGTCCCAGGGAGGTAGCAGATCTGCAAGTCAGGAACAGAGACCCCTCACCAAGGCTCGTGACTTCGTAAATTGAGAGGTGTACAGATGGAGCAAAGAGGATAGGAATGAAAGGGAGAATGAGTGAGAAAAGAGAGGATGCTCTTACTGAAAGCCTGGAGTGGGCTTTGAGGATGGTGCAATTCTTATAGCAGAGAGGGAAGAAGCCTATGATTGAGCAACAATTTCTGCACTTCAGGCAAAAGTCTCCCAGTTTCTGTGCAGAAATGGACCTAATCAGCAGGCAGTGCCAAATTGTCTAAGTTTCATTATATGTTTGGAATATGTTTTTTCATATCAGAGTTTAAATCTTTCAAAAAACACTGCCTCAGATTCTGAGGTCTGTGAAGGGATCAGAGTGAAGGCCAAAAGCTGCAGAGCTGTTTACCTGTTTAAAACAAAACAGATGCAGTAACGTTCTAGGTCTTATTATTGTCTTATTTCACTCTGAGTGCTTTTCTGAGCTTTTATGCTTATGATTTGATTTCAAGCCAGTAAATACTGGAGTTGGTACCTGAGACTTTGTACTCTATCCCAACCTTACAATCGAACATGTGTTTCATTTTCAGAGCCCTTGGCTGGGTGACTGTGATAAACAGAAGCTCCTGATAAGGAGTTCCAGTCTCAGTGCAGACTGCTTTCAGACGAGTCTATTGGCACAAAACCTGACAAGCATAAATTATATTGAAACACAGATCAAGCTCATTCCATGCTTGATAGAACAGACAACGTGATGGCTAGATATGACTGATAGAAAGGACACAATCATTTTTATTCCATTCTGATTATAATTTGTCTGCTCTTTTCTGTCCTCCAGTATTGAGCAGGTACTCCACAAGCAACTGCTGCTTTCATGTTTGCTTTCTTTCCCAGGCATAGCTAAACAAGAAATCCCTTGGGTTTAGACAGTGGAAGTGTTGGGTTTCATGCTTGAAACCACACATTTCACTGGAAGCTGGGGACTTGCAGTGGAGGCAGACCACTGAGTCACCACCAGGGCTGTTCCAGTAGGTTGGACTCATGACAAATCATGACTTACAGCAGCTTTGCTCTCTACCCTAAATGATGTGCCTGAGCTGCTGCACAGAACGAAATACCTTTAAAATATCAAATACTTCTTTGATGACTGCTATTCTAACAGGCTGGGGCTTGAGCCAGAGCTCTGCATGATAAAAAAACTCCAAAGTTCTAGTGTGCAGAAGTCTGAGCTAAGGAATCACTGGTTTGAGCTGAGATTATAACAAATCCTATCAGATCTGGGACATTGGAGGATCTATAATGCAGTGGCTGGTGGATTAGCCTTAAATAAGATGACTGCCTCTGTCACCATCTGTGCTAGCCCCTCAGTGCTACTGGGAAAAGGGAGCATATTAGCATATGGGTCAGAGAACATCCTCCTGGGGGCATAACCCAAAGACCATATGTTGCTGGCCCTGGCTTGAACAGATTCTCTGCTGCTCTGGCTTTCACTGGGGACAAGGAGTTAAAGATCAGGGTGCTCCTACATCACATTATGTTTTAATTGATATGGAGCAGCATGTGCATTGATGCAGACACTGGTGTCCACTGTGTTGAAAGCTCAGACAATTCCTAGCTTAGATCAGTATCAGAACCATCAGTTATTTCTGTCTGAAAGGGAAAGAAGCAATTTGTAAAGCAGACAGGATAATTCAAGCTGGAAAAGCAGCATCAGTATCTAGGGGTTGGGTTTGCTTGTTTTTTGGTTGGTTGGTTTTGGTTTTTTTTCTTTTTAGCCTGTACTGAGGAGAATTGACTTTGGCTTTGAGCAGTTAAGCAGGAAAGTACTGAACACAACACTGACCTGATGAGGAAGTCATGAAACTTGTTCTTTTTTGCCTTCTCTTTCTCATTAGCTTCTGTTAGGCTATTAAATGTTCCTGACTCCTGTAACTTTTCCATAGTGATTGTAATGACATCACTTGCATACTGCCTGCCAGGAAGAAAAGGAGCACAACAGTGATTTATAGGTGCTGGTACTACAGTGTCTGGCACCTTTATCCAGTACTGTTTACAGCTAAAAAGGTAAGGAAATAAAAGATTGCATTTCTGTTCTTATGTCTATCAATCAAATTCAGGAGTGCTTCTCCCATTGTAACTGCTTCTTGTATGTGTGGAGAACTCTGTATTAGGAGTTGGTTGAAGTTGATCATTTTTTCTGGCACAAACTTACCCTGTGCTGTGCCAGGCTATGCTGCCATCAGAAAGAAGGCCGTTGGCCTGCAGCACTGATGGCAGTGTGGTAGATCTTGGACAACAAGACGTGAGGATGCAGACAAGTGTGTTTATGAAGGGATACCTGGGTGCCAAAGTTCCAATAAAGCCCTAAGCTGATCTTAATAAATGCATGAGCTTGCAATTTATTGAATGTTATGGTGCATATGGTATTTATATTTTAGCTGCATTTTCCTTGTTTGTGTTAGGATCCTCTTTAAGCCTTTTGCTGAAATAACATTAAAGGACAGAAGGAAGGATGCAGAAACGCAGACTGAGTGCTCAGTTCCCCAGTCCATGCCTTAAACCAAAGGCTGTTAGTATTTCTGCAAATCAAATCAGTTGATTAGGTGCAGGAATAAAATTTATTTTCAAAAAAGAAAAAAAAAACCAACTCTTTGGTCCTTACACACATTATGTGTTCTATGAAGGAGAATGGCTGTAGCTGCCAGAGGCTCTTTGTGCCTTCCAGAGTAACCAAGCTCAGAAGGCAGTGCTCAGATCCCACTTTGCCTGTATGTATCTGCTAGGGGAAGGTGACTCCGGACACCAGAACATCAGCACTGGCTAGATCCTGGCACAGAGTCCACCCAAGCAACCATTATCAACTGGGAAGTATTTGCAACTTCATTCAAAACAAACTGATTGTCCTTACTTGGCACACAGAGGCAAGGAAAGGCCAGAACTGAATGTCTTGTGAAACTGGACCCCACTGTCCTCCTCAGAAGTGCTCCTTCAGGACCAAGAGTGAGGTATGCCAGCGGTGGGAGAGTGGGAAGCCTGCATTTTTGCTTTCAAGAGACAGACTGAGAACTTAGAGCTCTGAGCAGCCCCCATCGTATTTGAGCTTCACTCACATGTCAGCCTGAATTTTTCTGAGATTCTCTACAGATGGAGCGCTGCGTGTCGTGGCCTTGTTGGAAGGATGAGGGGCACTTCTTAGATCTTCAGTTTTCCCCAGCTTCTGCTTGTGTTTGCTGCACTTCTGAGACATGGAGGTAACTGCTTCCCCAGTCCCTTGCCTTGCTGACATAAGCTTTTGGTAGTTAGTGTCCAGATCCTTCTGAGTCTCTACCATTTCTTTCATTTCCTGGATACCAATCTTAAAGGCAATAAGAGAGACCTGTTTGCACATTGGGCAGTAAACATTGTGTGAGAGAAAGAATAATAAACTAGAATGAAGCTATACTAAGAGCTCATGTATGTTATGTTCTGCAAAGACTAGAAGAGAGAAACATTTGTCTTGGTTAGCACTGAGCACACAATGTAGGCTTATTAAAGTTTAGGGGATCAAATATTCTGAAGTGACAGGACTAAAAAAGGCCTCAAAAGGTGAATTCATCTGCCCCAAGGGATAATGCTTCAGACTGTGACATTCCTGACAGGTTCTTAATGACCTCAAGCAACGGAGACTGCACACCCTCCTGTCAATGCCAGCACATCACTACAGTCTTTACCCTGAATTTTTTCTCAGCTGCAGTTGAGCCCCTGGCTTCTTGTCCTAGTTTCTGTAGGCACAGGGAACAAATCATTCCATCCTTCTCTGCAGCAGCTTTTCTGGGCTGTTAGCCTGTTTCCCCTGTCTTCTCTCCATCTTATCCATTTCCTACTGTGTGACACCAGGACCTTTCCCTGCAATGTTATTGGTGTAACAAGAGCTGCCGTGTGTGGAAATAAGTGACAGACTTATCAGCTATCTGCTTAGATGGTTTTTTTGAGAGAGAGTGAGAGCAGAGGAAGTATAACACAAATTCAAAGAAGAATTTCAAAATATTGGCACGAAAAGCTATCTTGCGGCCATGTACAATTTTATTAAAAAGGAAAAAGCCCCAGAAAAGCAAAAGCACACTATAAAATCAGCTGAGGTCTTGCTTCTAGGAATTTCTCAGCTTTATGTACTATGGGTAAGAATGCAGGTGTATACACTGGGACATTAAATGAGAAAATTTCCTTGCCTGCACTGGCATCTCTGTGGCTGAACATGTAGCAGCTGTTTGGCTGAAGCCAGCTCACAGAGCCACCACCAGCCACATCCTAGTCCACAGTTATCTCCACCCCACTCACCTGGTTGGGAAAATGGATTAGAGAATGAGAACTCACTGAGCCGAAACATTTTCCCGTAAAAAAAAAAAAAAAAGTTTGTTTTTTAGCAGCAGCATCAGTTCTGAGTCCAGATCCCTCCACAACCACACGTGCGTTTGTGCCAACAGAGCCCAGAGGGCAGAGTTAAAAGAAGCCATCGGGGCGGGAGCTGGGTGTGCCAGGAGTCCTTCCCAGAAGTCATTTGTCAAGGAGGCACGTTGAGTAGCCCACGATGCTGCGTAGTCTGTGAGGGTGGCACACGGGGCACTGCAAGGGGCTGCATCCTTCTGAGTGTCCTGGACATCACTGGGTGGGATGAAGCAGCTTCTGGCAGTGCCCGACTCGCCACTGGCTTCAGAAGGAGTCTAGGTGACTACATGTTTCATTTTTGGACAGTTAAATTTATACTAAATTAAATGCATGCAAAGTATACACAGACGAATTAAAAAGACAGGAAAAAAATGTTTAAATAGTTTGCTGATGATGGTTATACTTCAGAAAGAACTAATTTTGGCAAATAAACTGTTTTAATATCATGTAGATTTTATGAATGTTCTGAAAGATGTTTTTTAATGTCTGGAACTTTCCCAGACGGGCTATAACTGGATTGTCTGTAAACAACAGAGACTTGCACACTAATAATTACCAAATAACTATGTAAGAGCAAGGAGTTTGTAAACTGCATGCATTACCGTCTGCGTTGTCTCCTAGCTGTTTATCTTTTGTTAATCTTTTGCCCAAAATTCAGCAAACAGAAAGGCTGCCTTCCTTTGGGGGTTGCACTCTGTGAAGCAACGTACAAAACTCCCCAGTTTGGAAAATCAGCAAGGTGCTGACCAACACTGTGATTCTTCCTCTCAAAAACGCCATCAGCTGAAATGTAGATGTCAGTCAGAAAATATCATTGATTTGTTTGACCCACAGAGCTCCAGGGTGCTTTGCAAATAGAGGTCTTCTGCAGATACAATTGTAACAGCCAAATGCAAACTGAGAAACGGGGAGGAGTAGCAAATTACAGAGCACTGAAGTTAGCAGGTAGCTTCCCTAAACCCTTTTCCTGCTTCTAAATTTATTTTCCTGCTTCTCGATTTATTTTGGCATCTTTAAGAACACAAGTAGGGTTTATAGTCTGTAAGAGAACTGTGTTCTAAGAAGTGAGCTGGTAAAAATGAGCACTTGTGATTGAAGAGAAAAGCCAAGGTGTTTTCTCTGTAATTTAAGTGTGCCTTTAGTAGGTCTATCAACCTGAGTCTGCGTGTCTGAAGAACAACGAACAACTCCTACTGTCCTAGAGACATGCTCCTTCTCTGTGCGTTTGCTGCTGGCCAAGAAGAGGTTTGCCAGCCTGCTCTGGGAAGAATACCCCCGGGAAGAGGCGAGGCTGGCTCGCAGGGCTCTCTGAAGGGCAGGAGTGCCCTCTATTGCACAGCCCGAGCATTCTGCAACACCAGCGTCTGCTGACGAGAAGATAGGTTGGAAGGGAAACAAGTAGAAAAAACCATATTGATTTACCTTCCCCTTGCATTCTTAAGTGGAATGTTAGACAGAGAGAACAGTATTAAATCTGAAAACTCAGATTCCAGTTTTTATTTCCATCCTGGGCACACTTCTTTTTATTTTTTGAGTTCTTCTTAAAGAAAAAAAAAAAAGTTACAAACCTCTTTAAACTGGAAGCAGCCTACTATGCCACTTAATATATATGACAATAGAATTTAGAACCATTTACCCCTCAGGATGATCCCATCCTGTTTCCCATGTTTTTCAGCCACCAGAAGTATCATACCTTCCTCTGCAACCACAAACCTCTGCCTGAGCTTTCCTCTGTTCTTTCTAACCCTGCCCAAACTGTCTTAGCTGTGCCTGTTAGAAATCAACTAATAATGGTCATTGAGAATGGGTAGTTACTAATATATTTTGAAGCGGAATTTTTCTTAATTCATTGGGGGGACTATAGGAGCTTTGGAATGGACTTAGAGAGGAACAGAAATACCCTGGGTTTGAGTACTTTCCAATATCCCATTCTTTTGCATTTTAAAAATAGCTGCATATCTGTATAAGAACCTAGATATGTTTTATTTCATTTCCTCTGATCTTTTGCTTTTTGCCTAATGACCACAATTTCTAAATTATAAGTCCAGGAACCTCATCTCATGTCAGTAGGGTCCTTTGCACAAAGTCTTGACAAAGGCTTCTCAGTGATGCTGCAGTATAAATATTAAAATGGGTCATCCATGCACTTTTATTGTGTTTCTTCACCCAAGAGTCTAGAGCACTTTGCAGAAAAAAAATATTTGAGCTGATTTTTAAAAAGTTCAGACAGAAGACATAAAACCAGGACAAGAAGAAAACCAAGAGAGATTTCTTTAAAGAGAAAGGATAGAGGCACGTACGTGGCTGATGTCTGTTTTGCCTGCACATGAAACTGGTATAACATATCCAAGAACTGAAAGCTGATCAACAAAATTCTCCAGCACAGCAGTAAACAGCAGAGCTTCCAGATGGCTGATTTTTCCCACTTCTTCAGTCTCTGTGCTTTTCCTAAGGGGAACAAAGACAAAAGACAACAATGAGAAAGACACTATGGAGTTAGTAATGTTAGTAACAGTAGCTTAAGCTGAAGGTGGACCTGAAATAGCTTATTTGCAGCCTTTCATGTACTTTCCCAGCTTTGTTTATAGCCTTTTGTACACTGTTTATACAGAGGAGCTGTGCTCTGCTAATGGCTGCATTCAAGGACAGTGGGAATGTTTAGCTTTCACAAAACAATGTAGGTCCTGGACCCTCCTACAGTGGATCTGGGTAGATAGGCTGAGAAGGGAATGGATATGGAAGGCACAAACTGGGTGAGGTGGTCTCACCTTTCAGTTCAAGGGAGAGCAGTGTTTCACAACAGACTTTGTTATTCAGGAAAAAATGGAAAGAATGTGCCTTTTTAAAAGCAAAAAATATATACTTGCATGTCTTAGAAAATCTGGGATGGTGAACCTTCAGATTCTAATCATTCCTCATTATTATTCTGTAGCCTTAACATTTT